TTTATTTATCAATAACGTGTATAATTATTTATTATCATCTGAATTCGCGTTACGTTTCGCGTATTTAATTATTATTAACATTACTATTGCCATTAAAATTTGTTGAAGGATCAGTTATTTTTTTTTCCAATGGAGTGATTTCTCTTGTAAGAGATTTAAGAGCTTTGGCAATTATTTCAGTTTGTGAAGAAGTTTCTTTATGAGTTCCATTGCTTTTACTGGTTGTATTATTGATGTCAAAAGAGGTTCTTCTTGGAACTGAATAGTCATTTATACTATTTTTGGATCGAAGATGGCTATTTTGAAAAGGAGTATTTGTTTCAGATTTATTGAAAGAAGGAGTATTTGAAGTTATAGTAGTAGTACTAGTAGAAACCCCTCTATGTCTATCTGTTTGATAAGAGGAGGGTGATTGTTCTTGCCAAATATCTTTTGGTTTGTTGGCATATGGATTAAACAATTTACGACCTGGTGGATTATTTCTACGAGCAGGAACAAAATCGTCTTCCTCGGGGTCAATAATATCCTTTCTTTGACTTTGACTACTATTGAGCATAGTGGACACAGTTGCAAATCAAATGTGACAAATCTTTTTTATGTTGTGAAACTTGCTATTTCAATTTTTAAAATAGGAAAAATGGAGTATAAGAAAAACTGGCGTAGCAAATATATATATTTCTGGATGAAGGTATTCATTATTTTTGTATTTACTGTTTGGTAACTAAGATCATTCAGATCATTGCTAGATCAAAAGTTAGATATGAACCGGAGTTTGGAGTAAAGTCTACACGTATGCACAATTTATTTGAATTTAATTTTTTTATTCGAAGTTTATCAATCTAATTAATTCAAAACCATTTTTTTTTAAAGTCTAAAGCTATTATTTGTTCTTCATTTATATCTTCCTCTCCCTCTTCATCTCCTGTTACATGGGATTCTTCTACTTCATTTAAGGAATCAGTCAAATTTTCCTTTTATTTATGTAAGAAGATATGTTGGAAATTACACCTTTATAAAATTTCAAGCAATAGATACATGTATAATTGTAAATCTTGTTCTAGCAAGTGAAATAAAGCTGCATTCACATTATGTGGTAAATGCAAATGAATGGAGAGTATATACAATTAAATTGATTTACTGCCTATTGAAGCATTGAATTTATAATTTATTGTCATCATAATTATCATATATTTGCTTGTGTTATTAACTCTATTACTATTATTATTATTATATTTGTAGTTTATTGAAAGATAATATAACAGTCGATTTATAATAAGCAGACATAAGGTTTTTGGATAATATAATTATTGTTCATTTTATTGATATAATATTTTGATATACAGTAGAACCTGTCTAAAGCATACTGTATATAAGCATAACCTGTCTAAAAGCATAGAATGTTCTCGGCCCGAGTCGGGCCATATGTGTTATAAGCATACTACATATTGTATATAAGTATAAAAAAATTCTAACATAAGCATAATCACGTGTAACAACAAAATTTCTGTCATTATTTTTTAAAAAATTGATTGGGCCTTTTTGGGAATAACTAAATATTTACAATTGCTTGCTTAAAGTGTAAAAGAATGGATAATTTTTTTTTTATAAATATGTATGATTTTGTTTAAAGAAAAAAAAATCATGAATTTTGTGACATCATAAACATATAAATGCAAAACTTGCTTTTAAGAATAACCTGCTTAATATTAGTATGGTGCAAGTCACCTAGTCCCGCAACTTGCTGCGCCTCGTGGCCAATTTTGGGAAAAATCATCAAAACTCAGAA